AGGTCATTCTCAGCGAGTCCAGCAAGCTCAACCCACCAAACTCAAATCAAACTATCAAACTAGGCAGTGCTGATCAGATATGAAGCAACATTCTCTTACTGTGTTCACTATTTCTCTCCTCAAATCTGTTCACAAACATATTTTAGTGTACTGTTTAGCTGTAACGAGATTGTGTGTGAGCAGGCGAGCCGCCATTGTTTCTGCTACGGATGGGTCGAAACTACTAACTTATTTCGTTCCTGTTTTTTGATTGATTTGATTTTTGGCTTCTTTTGTTGATGAAAAATGTGTTTTGTTGAAAAGGAAAAAAAAAACATTTGACAACAATTTGAAAATAAAATCATTTATCCAATGACCAATCTATCTCAACTGGTATTGAAACAATAACCAGGCCTAAATGCTGGACACCAAATGTCTCAATGTAAAGACAATAAAATTGTCAGTAAGTTCAATTCTGTCTGTAAACACCTGAACATCGACTGTTAGTGTTGATGGTGGAAAAAACAGCAAACTCACGTAGCCAATGTCTGGTCTGTAACAGGTGTAAGCCCCCAGTACACTGTGGAGGAGGTCGTGGTAGGGACCGCCCTGCAGAGGGAAAAGAGAGAGTTGAGTTCAATAGATAGATGGAGAAGGAAGAGAAGAATAAATGCAGGGCTAACTCATTCAAAGTAAGACAAGATTTCTGCAGCTTTCAACAGGTTAAATTTGATACCTTCCGTTAGTACCGGGCTTTTCTCTTATGAAATTCTAAAACTACCTGGTTCTCCCAATGGTAGAAATACAAGAGCACACACACGCCTTTCTTCTGTTACCTTCTGGAAGATGAAGAGAGAGGGAAAGGTTCTGGAAATGTCCAGTTTGATGAGGTCCAGACTGGACTCTCTGTCAGCCAGAGACGCCCCTTCTAACAGAGAAACGCACAGGAGAAAAGATTCAACGTGTTATTTCAGTCTAGACAGCTGTTTTCAGTTGTTAGCCAGTAAAGGCTCATCTCAGACCTGAATATTCATGGCTAAAAGTTTTCAATATGACAGTAATTTGTTTGAGTTTTACCACTCTCACTGTCGTTGACTGAACTAGTTTCGCTGTAACTCCTCCACTTCTCTTTGGCTCGGGACAGGAAGATCTCATACAGCTCTGCATAAAGAGGAAAAACACAAAGATTCAGGTCCAGTGTGTTAGATTTAGTGGAATCTAGTGGTATTGTTGTAAGCTTTATATTTAAAGCATATGTCTGGTTCTATAGTTTTTTTCTGTCAACAAATCCCATGAAAAGACTGAACCAAGAACGTTTTAGTCTCTCTCAACACTTTCTGACGTCCTGTTTGTGGATCTCAGCTCCAAGCCAATTGGGCACTACTGAAGTAGCTTACTAAAACAGCTGCTCATTGTAGATTTTAATCAAATGTTAAGTAAACAGGAGGAAATAACATGCATCAGGCACTATTTTCAGTGGCGGATTAATCCACATTTGGTGCTCTATTGAGTATTTGGGGCAGCAGGATGGTGTGTGTGTAATGGTAATGATGAAACGTGTTTACCCAGTGCAACAGTGTGGCAATGGAGCTCTATGGCACCGGGGAAGAAGTAGTTACATTGTTGGTTGGAGTCTGCATTTGTTGACAGGAAGAAACATTTCGCACAGCAGCAAATATATTTAACGTGTGTATCAGTTTGTACCTGGTGTGATGTTGAGCTCGTTGCCGATGGCGAGGCTCCACACCCTTCCTCTGACACTGGGAGGAAGTCCCTGCCACCAGAGCTCCCTGACCCGCCTCGTTCCCTTCCTGCACACACACAGGCACAATGAGTTAAATAAACATGCTGCATAAACAAGCTTGCACACTGCGTACACAGCACACACACAAAGAGCTGTAGAGACGTACATGGTGTCCCAGTGTGGCAGGATCTCTGTGTTCCAGATGACCATGGCGTTGGAGATGCTGTCCTCCTGTCTGTGTCTCTCCTTCATCTGACGCTTCTTCCTCTGGGCTTCCTTCATCTCTGAGGGAGGGAGAGAGAGGCATCAAAAAAAGTGTGAAAAATGTTTCCACAAGTAAAAAATGATCTTGCCAACAAAAATCTCTGCTGGCTTTTGAGACCAGTGAGGTAAAGAGGTCATTTTACAAAGTGGTTACAATTAGCTCTTGAGATTTGTGTGTGTGTCTGTGTGCGTGTGCGTGCATGTGCAGTTTGTAAATCCTTACTTTGGCATTCTGTGTTAACAGTGTGTGAAATATGTATTGTTTTTGATATGGTACCGAGCTAAAACTTGACTCCCACCGCAATGTCCTTGGCACCTGTTAACTGTGACCAAGTGTTTGTGTGTGTGTGTGTGCGTACGTGTGTGTGTGCGTGCAAGAGTGAATGTGCATATGTTTCTGTCTACATTCGTACTGATATCCATTTGATGCCATATTGATATCTTAAGTAAAACAGTGATTGGCAATGTCATTGTTATCTTTATAATGTTTTAAAAATGGTCCATATTCTTTTTGGTTGTTTTTTTTTTTGCTGCTACTGATAATTTTTGTTTCTATAGTGGACTTAAATTCGCACAATTAACGCAAAAAATATTTGAATTAATGCTATTTTCAGTGACTTAAGTTGTTTTTGCACTTTTTATTTTATTTTACCTTTACCTTTTTTGTATGGACTTTTTTTAACCTCACCCATATGATATGTCTTGACCCTAATGTCAGTGTTTGTCATACTGTGTTGCACTGTGAAATTAAGTGTCTTTGACTGGCGAAAATATCCCAATACTAAATGGCAAATAAAAACAACTTTGTGAAACTGGGACTAATCCGCACTTTTACAATGACTAACTTTGCCATATTGCTGAGGTGTGTGTGTGTATGTGTGAGATCCTGCATGTGTGTGAGATCCCGCATGAGTAGGAGTGCACGAGTACCTTTTTTGCCTACGAGCATGTTTTGGATAGCTAGGTGGCGTTCATACGATGTGTGCACAGCAGGGGTGCATATAATTTTTGTTTGGAAGGGTTTGTAGCCTGCCCCAGCCTACTTTGTGTGCATGCTGTGTGTCTTTTTTCACACTCTGTGTGTGACTGTGTGTGTGCAGTGGTGTATGTTTGGAAGTGTATTTCAGAGTAATATGATTGCCCTTTACGCACCAACACACCACCTCAATTCACAATGAGAGCACAGTATACTTAAAGAAGATAACAGCTAGGATACTGCCAAAGAGCCACTGAAATTTAAAAACAATAAGTAGAGACAAGCTGCTATTTCAATATTTAATAAGTGCATCATGATGATATAAGAATACAGGCACCAAAGGGCTTTTGATCAATCATGGAATAAGATTTTGCCAGCAAAACTGATTACAGGAATCTATATTTTTGCATTAATATTCTTCCAGCGCGTCGACATTTGGAAACAAACCGTCACTGGCACTTGATTTGACCTAGACTGTGACCACTAAGATAATCGAATCAATCAGCAGTCGCTTCAAATACCAGACAATCTGAACCCCAGTCTAGTTCCCTTTCCACAGTCTCTTAGAAAGCTTGTACGACAAAACGTTTTTGGTTGCTTGTTAATTTTAGTGTTTTTTTTTATTTGTGTAACTGATGTTTTTAGTTTCATCAACAGTGTTTGTGTCAGAAGGATCCGTGTACATTTTCTTTAAATGATACTATAGTTCTGAGTTTGAAGAAAAGGAGTAGTGACAGTTTTTTGAATAGGTGCAAAGAAAATGGGAACAAAGGAGGGATGAAATAAAATGAAGAACAAATGTTTTTTTTTTCTAAATTCTGTTTATATAATAAAGAGCATGATATTGTTGTAATTTGGCAGAAAGACTTTGGTACCTCTTGCTTTCCTATAGATTGCTTTCACCAGTCGTGTTCCCTTTTTTTTTAAAGATCAGAATGGAAATAAAATTGAGTCTGTTATATGATTTATAGTTTGTGTGTAAAATCTCTGGATTCTTGAAATAAATCCTGTCATGCATGCTGAAAGCTGGATGTTAGAGTTGCCAGTCTGACGTCTTTTGTGAGAAAAAGAAGGGTTGGAGTGTAATGTATCTGTTAAAAACAGTGACGTAAGAGTTTCATCTCAACTGCACAACTGCATCCTCAAATTACACATACTGGTGATCTAATGGTTTTAACTTGAATGGAGTTTGTGCGTGTGTGGGATTAGCCACTGTAAATCTCTTCACATGCTCAGCAGCAACATATTTATCCCCTCCATCTACATTTTAAAATACTGTATAATAAGTGTTTTCTTCCTAAACTGAACTTCCAACCCCAGCACGTTCTCTCATTTCCAACTACGGGATATCTCTGGAAATATGATCACTTCACAGGAACTCCTCACTGACAAATTAGATCAAGGTGCGTATTTGTGTGAGGATTAAGAGAAGATAAAGCCTAAAAACCAAATACTGTCTTAAATACTGTCACACCATGCTGTGACATATCAGTTGTTTTTGTTGCTCATGTACATGCAGCAACTGCTAGCTCCTTCAAACCTTTGCAAATAGATGTTTCAATCTGTTGTTGTTTTTTAACTTTATTGCTGAAAACATAATTGAATAATGTCTGATTGTATTTGATTTTAAAAGGCTGAGCCAAAATTGTTCAAACCAAGTTGATCAGGAGATTTTTGCTATGGAGGCTATATATATATATATATACATACATATATATACATGATGTCATAATATAGTGACTTTATACTTACATTTATTGTATGATATATTAGCACAGGCTAAGTTGTGTGTTTAACAATATTTACCATTGTAGCAATAAACAGGCTTTGACCAATTAGACTCATTCGATTAAGCATCTTCATCAAGCACAGGCCTATATGAAGATAGCAGATAGGAGGACAAGAGTTTAGACAAGTGGTGGCGGAGCGGAACCAGTAATCTCAGATATTCACCCATAGAGGAATGAAGGCAGAACATAGGGGAAGAGTTTTCACTTAGTGAACATTCACCAAAGCTACATTTAGCTCACATTAAGTTAAATAATATCTCACTCTTTCAGCTCTGATTTTGGTTAATGGATCAAACTCCTCTATGCATGCCCTGTGGCATCAGTCAGTATTAATGATATGAAACCTATCCTCTTTCTCAATCAGAGTTTTGGCTTGCAATATTACAAAGACGATTTGATACAATGAGTGGGATCTTATGTAAAACTGTGTACCCTAAACCAAAGCCACACAGCAAGTTACTGCGTTCACCACTCTGTTTGTAGACTCACCTATTCATCAAATACTGCTGTGCATTAGGCTTGAGTGGATCATATTCTCAAGAGGTTCCCTAAAGATGTTCCACAAAACCTGCCAACCCTTTTCTGAAGATTTTGACACCTTGACTATCAAAAAATAAATAACTGAGCAAATATTTACTTTATTTTTTCCCCTGCCTGGTATGCGTGGGTGAATGAGACTAAGAGAATGGGACCAATGGGAATGGTGGGGATGGGGATAGTTGTATTAGGGCTTACAGTAGACAACCACTGAACACTGTTTATACTACTGTCTACAGTGTATGTTTTATTTTCTGTGCAAAAACCAATAAAAAGATTTTTAAGAAAAAAAGAATACCCCAATAACTGTGAAATCTCCCACAAAGCACAGATCTGATTTCTCTCCAACACTGTAATTACAGGCTTCTGTTACAAAGCAGATCATCTTTTCATCCCTACCTTGATATTACTTGTTCTTTCCCTGAAGCTTGGGGTGAAGCTGGGGCAGGAGTGAGTGAAAAATCACAGAGTTGAGACGTCCATACTTCTCTGTCACTGTCTCCAGCCCAATATATCACTCACACCTATATTCAAATAATTTTATAGAACAAACATGATCACATATAGTGTAGAGGGTGAATTTTTGGTCATCAAAACATTAAGGCTATTTGTGGGGGTGAGTGCATCTGATAAAAAGACGTTCTGGAAACAGGCATTGTTTTGACAGAAAAATTGAGGACAAAGCAGACGAAGATAATATCTATACGGCTTTATTGTGCACGTCTCTGTTTTATAGCTTAAACTGATATGAACAGGCTTTTCCTGTTCTGTAGGTATCCTTATTTGGGCCTTTGTTCGCGTCCCAATGGATGCTCTGTCTGGGAAAGGGAGACACTCCAGATGGCCAAAGACAACTATATGTTTTGGTAGTAATTAAAGTTCAAAGTCAAGATGTTAAGATCAGACAATTTAATACTCTGGCTTTATCTCACATTGTGTCTCTAGGCAGGTCACGTGTTGGCCAGAATGAAAGAGTACTATGTCTTAAAACATAACAATCATTCACCATGGCAAGAATGCTGTTAGCTGCTAATGTGCTTTCTGTGGTGAAGTAGATGAGCATGATTGTTTGTTGCGTGATTGTTTTTATTTTACTTCATAAAAGTAGCATTATGACATTGTAAAAACACTCTATAACAAGTAAAAGTCCTGCATACAATAAAAATAATATTCATGGGTATATTTTCATTAGAGTAAATCACCTAAAAATAAATATTGTTGTTCTACTGTTACCTTATAATGAGTTGTTTTTATCTACAGACGGAGTGGGTCCTCCACATACCCGCCATGTTTCTATAGTAGCCCAGAATGGACAAACCAAACACTGCCTCTATTTTGTATTTTGCGAGTTATATGGCCACGTTTCACACACGTTTCTCACGCCTGGAGGTCAAGCAGTATGTAGTTGGTTGCAATCTGCAACTTTATCACTAGATGCCACTAAATCCTACAAACTGGTCCTTTAAGTAAAAGTCTAAATCATTAGTAACAAAAAAGTAAAAGAACCCATTAGACAGCAGGATGGCCCCTGTCATTGTAATGCTACGGTTTTATGCATTAGCCTTTGATTATTATTCCTATAACATCACTAATCTTATAACTGGTCCAGGTGCAGCAAATTTTAACTACCACACTATATGCATCACTATTTGGGGGTTCAACCCTTTAACAATGTATCATTTTACAAACTACCCTAGGCTTTCTGTGGAAGATTTTAATATAAAAAGTAGGCTAATTAAAGCTGTCAAATAAATGTAGCAGAGGGGGTGCCTGGGTACCTCATTCATCAAGTCCTTGCAACAGTGGCAATAGGTTTAACGCCAACCTGTGGCCCTTTGCTGCATATCATCCCTATTTCTCTCCCCTTTCCTGTCAATCTTCAGTCACTATCAATTAAAAACAATAAAAGCCCAGAAATGATTTTGAAAATAAATAAATAAATGTAGTAAAAACTAGAATATTTCCCTGTAAAAATTTAGTGGAGTAAAAGTATAAAGTGACTTAAAATAGAAAGACTCATGGGAAGTAAAAGTACTTACATCCGTGATAACAACATTAGATTAAGATCTTGTTAGCTGGTTGTTGGTAGCCGGTAATGTAAATTGAATATAACCTGCTACTGAGAAAGGAAGGCTCACCCAACTTTTCACAATGTGTTTATAGTATACGTTCTGTTGTGGCATTTACAAATATTCTGAAAGTTTATTTCACATTATGATAAGTTTCAACCAAGCACATTTGAGAAAACATTCCTCAAAAGGCTACAACAAGAGATCAGAGATGTCATAACTTAGTCTCTCCCATTCCCTCTGTATTTACAAGTGATATGCTACATTACAACTGACAAACAAAATGTTAATATAAAGACAACTAAGAAGACTCACAATGAGCTCACTGTAATTTGAAAAGACATGAAACTATTACTTCAACAAACAAAACCTACCAAAATTACAACAATAAAGGGCATCTACAGCAAATATGGCCCTAAATCAGACGGAGTGCATTTAGGCTGTTATCGACTCATAGTCACTACTCATGGCTCTGAAATGAATATGATTTAATATAGTTAGTTAGTTATAGTAACTATACCTCAAACGTGTTCTTAAGTACAGTACTTGAGTAAATGTACTTAGTGACATTCCACCACTGCGTCTCAGAGTCAAAAGTTGCTGAAGATCTCTTGTCTCTTGTTCCAGTCCATAGGAGGTGCCCTCTTCTTTTTGCGGCTGGCGAGGGCCTTTTGTTTAGCCTCAGCAGCTGTGGGACTCAGACGCAGGCCGCTGTCCATGAAAGGGTCCGAAACACGCCTGTCGTCCTCATCAGGGACCTGCAATACATACATACATACACGATTTACACACACACACTCACCTACGTCTCATTTTGTGACTGTCGCCTCCTCTCTCACCTGGATGCTCATGTCCGAGCTGCTGATCTCCGAGTGGGTGGTGGAACTTCTTGAGGACTGAGATGCTGAGCTCCCATTGGCCCTGGATTTTGGAGACATTTTTGTGATTGAAGAATCTGTCAGCGTGACGTTTATGATTGGTGGATCTGTAGCGGGGAGTTCAGTGGTGGGAGAGGGGGTAGGTGGGCCGCTTTCTGTGGCTGATTCATCCACATAGACCTCTGTGAGACAGTTAAGAGAAACACATGAGACATTTTGTCCGGAGGGTAAATAGAGTTGTGTATGTGTGTGTGTATGTGTGTACAGTTTAACCTTTGTCATGGCTGGTGGTGGGTGTGAGCCCCAGTCTGTGGAAGAGCTCGTCCGTCTCCTGGTCGACTACTAGGAGGCGCACTTCCTCCCCTCCTGCTCTAATAAATGCCACCACCTCTGAGTGCCTCAGGCCCTCAATGTTCACTCCATTCACCTGAGGCAAAGAAAAGGAGATGTCAAAGGCAACAGAAACAGTGGAGGAAAGTGAAGATGAAAAAGAGAAAAGATACAGAGGCAACTATTAATACAGACAGGAGTCAGGGAGGAGATTAGGAAGTAGGCATAACACAAGCGGTTCAGTATGTCTTGCCTCACATACCAAAAACAATGTGTGATTTGAGTAGAAGCGGGTTCATTTGCATGAATTCCTTTCCTGCCTCGACACTCTTCCTCTACACATGTTAACTGCAAGCTTCTTACAGGTGGAAATGGAAACAAAGTCTGTCCTGTACAAGCACACATATCTGCGAATCTGTGACGCACAAGCAGACGTGCATACATGTTCACATAGAAAGGTACAAACAACACCAGCCCCTCCTGTCACCTGTTCTTCCTTTTCCCCTTTAAACAACACCTCTCTCTCCTATCCACTCTAAGCCCGAGTTCAGCTAATCCAATGCTCTAATGCTCTAATCCAATCACACCTCATATTAGTGTGTAGACCCGATTAATACTGAGAGTGATTGCAATGTTTTTTCCCATCAAATCCCTAAAATTTACCTATGACAAGGTAGGTGTCTGCGTATTCTGAAAAAGGGGATGGGGAGGTCATTCTTCTAAGTCATTTATTTTAATGTGTGTGTGCTTTGGTTGTACCTCCACTAGTCTGTCTCCAGGCTTAATGTCTGCATTCTCAGCAGCTGAACCGGGGTCCACCGAACGCACAAACTGTCCACCCTTTGTTTTATCGCTGTGCAGATTGAAACCGTAGCCATGCTCCCCCTTCACCAGGTGACACAGCCGGGGAATGAGCTCAGCTGGCGGCTCTGGCGAGGGCTGCACCTGCGGCTATAATGGGACAAAAGACAACGTAAATTTGAGGATGAGAACTTTACAAAAACAGATATGTTTTTCCTACTGTTCCAGGCAGCCATTGGTTTCCATTTATTCATAAAAAAACAGAAACTTGCCTGAATTGTGTATTCCATCAACAAATCTGCATGTGTTTTTAATCAAAGTTACATTATCTGTGTGTGGTAATGCATTTTAAGTGCAGATTGATTTGAAAGGTCTGCACTGCTTTATCATGCAAAGACAATATGTTAATTTTGATGGATTACACAATTCAAACAAGTTTTAAGAACCTGCAGATTATCATATCAGACAGAAATGAATGAAAGCCAATGGCTGCTTGTAACAGCATGAAAAATACATCCAAAAATATAAAGTTTATGGCATGCATTTGAAAATGTTTGGCAAATATTTAAACTATGATTCTTACTTAAGTGATTAAAACTTGGGGGAAAAAAACTGGTATGGCCCCATAAATGTAGGATCATTTTTGAGTCTGTAGTTTGTGGTGATTGGTTGTATTGGACTGCACTATACTGAATGTTTTGTCCCCTTACAATAAAACCACCACCACAAACCAGATCATTTAATCAACGCTTTTGTGACAGTGTAAACAAAAACTGAACATGACAAGCTTCACAACAATAGGAGTCACTGCAGGGATGTTGCGCTGGATTTCACTTGATTGTGCAGGTTGGGGCAGTATCGCATATCAACTTTCAGTACAGTGACGTCATGACAATATAATCTTGTTAAATGATCTAGTCCAAATCATTGATTCCAGTCATTTAAAATGAACAAAACTATAACAATTTGATTATCTTATATTTAATTTTGCAAATACTTGCCATGTTGTAACTTAAATTGTATATTTGTATTAATATTGTAATATTGATTTCAGATTTATCTACTAAGGGTGTACAGACATATTAAACTAGTAACCAGTGTAACTAATTAGTTATAGTTACAAATTACTTCTCCCAAAAAGTAATTGAGTTAGTAACTCAGTTACCACATTGTAAAAGTAATTA